AAACGTACGACGTACACTCGGTTACAATGTGGCCGCGCGCCGCGGGGCGGTAACAAAACGTCTAAAAATAAATAATCTCTCTCCGACTTGCGTCTCGTCTCGACAAATTTACAAATTATGTATAAAAATAGCTACAAAGCTGCTTCAGCAAATGCTGCCGTGAGTCACCACTAGAGGGCGCACAATGCTGCTGTGTATTAACACTAGGGGGCCGACAATGCTGCCGTGTATCAACACTAGGGGGCGCACACAAACTGACGTCGCATCTGCAAGGCAAGGATCCCTGTTCTTCGCGAACTAGTTGTCACAGCACGCTTCCACGAATTTAGTTTTTTATTATTGCAGATTTTCGGCGACACTCGGCTGTGCTACCTACGTGCAGCACTCTTACAGTGACAATTACGAGCCAGATATCAGCTGTTGTGTTCGCACGACCCCACGAACAAATCCGACGTGTGATACACAACAACAATATTACACAAGTTTTTAGCAGCAGCATCTGTAACAGTACGAGTAGCAGCAGCAAGTTTTGAAAAAACTTTGTACGATCAAACCTATCATAATATACTCGCGTCTGCGCGACGACGATGACGTCACCGTCACTATATGGTTACGCTCACCCGAAAACCGCAAACGACGCAAGCAGCGACATCAGAGATGCGAATTAGATGCGGGAATGTTTGTCCCTGGTGTACATACACATTACACATACACACAGATGCACGCACGCAGACCGCATGTACGCGCGCCCACGCACAAACGCACGCACACCATAATATGCATGCGCGCACACACACACACAGAAGTACGCATGCACGCACACCATATTCATGCGCGCGCACACACACAGACGCACGCACGCACGCACGCGAACAATATTCGTGAGTGATAGATAGTGTAAGTGTAGTCACACAGCGCGCTGGTGTGTATCTTGTCACACACGTAATCACACTAGACGGCTGAGGTAGCAAAGCACTGCCCAGGACATATATGTTACCCCCTCTCCTCCACCATAGGTCCCGCTACCGTAAACCTCACTGATCTAGAACACTTGGGACAGCTACTGTGTCCTGCACCCAAATGTTAGCTTGAAAGTGTGCTCGCAGAATGTGTTCAGTGTTATGGATCCTTGAGTTGGAAGTAGTTTCTCTACACCCTGGTTGCCCTTGAGTTGCTTGAACATATGCCACCGGAGTACTTTAGCTGATTCATAACCAGGTTTGAAGAGCTGACACACGTCTCTATATCTCTACATTGCAGTTTATATTCTACTATGTATAACTTGTAACTTGCATTGCTTTGCATAACTTACGGATGGTTCTCTCTGAACAGACGGACTGCGATGCAAGCAGCCAGTAATTAACAACCCACAGCGGCATGCTTGCACTGACAGTACGTTATGGTATATAGATATATACTGTATGTAATAATGTATATAATAATTATGTCCATGTTAATTAAAACTTACACTACTTGTCATCACGTGTGTGTGGTCGCAGCTGAGAAGTTCGAGACAAGCATGTAAACAAAATATAAAAGATGGAGATCTCTAAGCGTACTGTATAGTTCAGGTGTTACAATGAGATCACGTGAGAAAGAAGCCCGTCTCATGGTGTGCCGATATCCCGTTAAAATTACAGGTACTAAAGTGGTTAATTTATTTATACGCACTGTTAAACTATTTCCGCGGGAGATGGCGCCACGATGTTACATTTTATTATTAAAAGACAATTTCGCAGCTCAAAAATCGCATTTCGGGTTTGCGAACCCCCCAAATTACAGAATCAGCCAGTTTTAGCTTAATTATTTCACACGCGCTTAATGGACAAAATTTAACATTGTTTCAAAATTGTTCACAGAAAGCTGAAGAGACTTTCCTCAATCTCATATAATCGGTCTCTATAGAGATAGATTTCTCTATATTATATACTCCTAATATAATCACAAGATCCTTCACGCCTGGCATTACACCATTGAGGAATTCTTTAACTGCACATTAAACTAATATCTTGTTTGATATTTTCGACGTAAGTCAATCTAGAAATGCAGAGAACGCTACTCTGGCTGGAAAAAACTGACAAATTTATCACGAAGTTGTTTTATGTATGTTTCGTTCAATTTTGTTTAGTTGAAATGAGTAAATAGTTGTTCCTACTGTAGGCTGCATAGACGAACAGACATAGAAACAACTAAGGCCATAAATTATGTCAACATTTTTAAGCGGTCGTTTCACTCTATTCAGTCAATATCAACCGTTCCAAGCAGGTACGTTGATCCATTTCACACTCCCACGATATCTATCATACACGTAGTTCACACATACACGCACACAGACAGTGAATAAAGAAAGTGCATTCGCTCACATCAAAGCTAAAGCCAGACGAACAACTATTTCTGATATCGATCTCCGTAAGACAATGGCGAGCGACTCCGATCGTGAG